AGATGTGCATATCTTCTGGCTAGGGACGCCTTGGCCCATATGTATTTCTATATAAAGTTTTCTTTGAGTGACAGCTGCCTGAAGTTGAAAATACCCCTAGAAAGGGATACTATTGAGGGTAAACCTGAATCTCAGTTTCACGCAGGATCCTCTGGCTCCCTCGGAAGGAAGATGTGTGAGGATCTGGGCTCCTTTCTTCTTTCTCCTATTGATCCATCTCCAGCTCCTAATTCATTGCCACCTCCAGTCCTGTGATTGACCTCAATGAATGACAGACGGAATGAGGGGCTTGAGCCTTCTGGGTCTCAGCTCTCCAGCTCTGAGCACTGCCCTCTGGGCACTTCTATTTTCTTTCTTACCCTTGGTTCATTACACGCTTGTATCAGGCACCTTGATTATGGCACCGATTTTAGTGGGCTCAGGTTCTAGGACAAAGGTTTAGAACATGTGGATGCCCTAGTGCTCCAGAGTCTTCCCAGGGAAGGGTACGAGCCATCTCCCGGGGCCCTCCCATTTGGATTTTCTCCAGTCATTCAGGCTAGTTTGTTGCTGGATCAAGCCTCTGTCTTTGTGTCTTTGTTTAATCAAAATGCTTTCTTTCCAAGAGCCTTTCAAGCTGAGCTCCCCTGGTCCCAGGAGCTAGCTTCTGACCTGGCATGGGTCCCTTCTTTCTTTCCCCTCCCTCAGAACGGTGTCCTCTAGTTTTGTAATGTTCAGTGTCCCAAGCCAGCTTGGCTCCTTGGAGTCTACTGTTGCCTCTTTTTATTGCCTCCAATTTCTGCCTTGACAGACTTTTAAGAATTAACATTTTTTATATAAGTAACAAGTAGCCAATAGAGAAAATTGGAAAAATGGAGATAAATATGAAGAAGAAAATTATAATCACCCTTATTCTCACAACCATAGGAAATGATTTTTAAATATTCAGTTTCTCTTACTCTCCCTTCTCTCCCCTCCCTCTCCCTTCATCCCTTTCTTGGTTGAGTTTACATGACTGAATTCTCATTCCCTCCGCAGGATCCATCCATCTTCACTGGGTTCTTTGTATGGTTGTACTTGGCTTATACGGTGCAAATGAGAGATTCAGCAGTGGATCAGGGCTTGAGGGAGAACTCCAGGAAGGTGGGCTACTGAAGGACACATACTGAAGAGGAGCTCACAGGGGTTCCCTAAGCTGCAACGGAGGAATCAGTGCCCCTACCCTGTTCTCAGTTCTTCTTTGTGCAGTTGAGTAAACCATGGCCTGAAAATGTTAAGTTAGAAATTCTGAAAACAATGATCTATGACTTTAAAACGACTTTTATTATAGTGTGTCGTTATGGCTGCTAGTCTTTTATGATGCCCAATTTATCCATTAAGCTTTAACATAGGTGTGTATGTATGTATAGAAGAAAATGTAAGCCGGAGAGTTCGATTCCCGGCCACCGCAAGTAGTTCTGTACCGTCTGTCAGCGCCCCCCGCCGGCCTGCAGAACAACTCACAGGCTTCCACTGTCCACCGTAGATCCGTGTAGAGTAGTAGGCAAAAGAAGGAGAAGAAGAAGAAGAAGAAGAAGAAGAAGAAGAAGAAGAAGAAGAAGAAGAAGAAGAAGAAGAAGAA